TGAGGGGCTGAGAGGACCCTATTCAATCAGGGATCTTGGTAAAGTTTTTGCGCCAAACCTAAACCATAAACTCTAAACCCTAAATGCACACACCAACAGACCTAGGCGAAAATGGAAAGCTGTGGCGAGGCTCGAGGACGCTAGTTTTTCGGGCTGAAAGGGGCAAGTATAACCAAAAGATCTCAACCCAAAAGGGTTTCAGGGTTTAGAGTTCAAGATTTAGGGTTTAGGGTTTCGGGTTCTGGGTTTAAGGAAGGGTTTAAGGCTCAAGGTTTACGGTTTAAGGTTCAGGGTACAGGGTTTCCTTTCTGTCTCGAACCTGTAAACTCTGCTTATCTATCCACGCCACAACAGTCCTTTCTGTCAGGTTTAGGTTTCAGTCAGTATGGTAAGCTTAAGTTTGCACCTCGGATGCTCTCTCGACAGTCGACCTCAATCTCGCGTCGTCCCTGGACCTCTTAACCCTGAACCCTGAGAAGGGCTTCTATAAGGCTACAGGCTTCTAGCAACCAGAAAGTTGACAGGAATGACAAAAGCCCTGCCTAAGTCGGAAACCCTGAAGGCATCCTGAAATTAAAGGAAACTACAGGTGGGAAGTTTCGGGTCTTTAGGGCTTCTATAAGGTATATAGACCTTCTATAAGGCTCCTATATCGGTAACTATCCACCTGAAGATGTCCTAGACTGAGAAGCTTCACGGCTTCAGGCTTCGTTGTTTTGTTCGGCTTTCGGGTAGGAGCCTCACAAATCAGAATCGAGTAACGGGGAGTTTATACTGTCATCGCATTAAAAGCCCCCTTTACAAAGCGCAGTACTACTCGAGGCCCGAAAAGAACCAAAGCCCAAGACCCTAAGCCCTTTTTTGCAACTGGCCTGCTCCGACTCCGCCAGGACGATCACCAAACCCTAAACCCTAAACCCCTAAACCCTAAACCCTGAACACTAAACCCTAAACCTTACACGCCTAAACCTCTGAACCTTAGCCGGTAATGGCGTTCGGCTCTGCTCTAAGGTTCTAGTTCTGGGCGCCATGGATTTCAAGCTGAGGTCTCGCCTAAACCCTTAAGGGTGTAGGGTTTAGGGTTGGGGGGTTTAGGGTTTAGGCTTTATAGGGTTTACCTTAACCAACTCACCTACCCCATTTAGGGCTCCTTGTTATGATTTCCCTCTGTGGGTCCTTAGAAACGTACGTAGGCTTTTCAGGGACCAGGAAACCCCTAAGCCCGAAAACCCCCCAAACTCTTAAACCCGTAGACCCTAAACCCTAAACCTTAAACCCGGTAGACCCTAAACCCTCAGTAGACCCTAAACCCCAAACTCTTAAACCCGTAGACCCTTAAACCGAATGCAATGCAGCTGGGCGTCACCCTCCTGCCAGCGATCGCCGTAGGGCTTTGCCAGGTCCCAGCCTGTTCGCGTTTAGGGAATCCGAAAACGCTTCAGGGTTTAGGGTTGAGGGTTTTGGGTTTAGTTTTTTTGTTTTAAGAGCCTTTTTCGTCGCTTGCTCTCCAAAGCAAGCGACGAAGAAATGGGTTTAGGGCAGTTTAGGGTTCAGAGTTTAATGTTTAGGGTTGAGGGCATGGAGACCGCCCCAAAAAAAAACACGTACACGGGTTTTTTTCCCTCTCGCATGGCTGAGGATCTATGCCCACTAGCGAGGTTGGAAAGTGCACGGGTTTAGGAGTCAGGATTTTAGTGTACTGACTGCAGACACACGATTCCGACTCTGTTTGTGTCGATGTCAGGGATTCGAAAAACAGGGATGGGCATTTTTGAAGTCTCACAAGTTGCAGCTCTCAGGAGTTCGGGGTTTAGGGTCTATACATAGTACTTACCCATAGGCCCCTAAGTAGTTCCTATTTGGGGATTACCTTACAGGGTTCTAACTCTAAACCATAAAAACGAAACTACTTAGGGGCCTATGGGTAAACCCTAAACCCTAAGAGAAACCCAAGGAGGAATCCCTTGCAAGAACCCCCCCTTTTTCGGCACGCTAAACCCTAAACCCTAAAC